AAAGGTTAAGTTTTAACCCAATTTTCTCTAGCATTACAACTAGGATGGGGATTCCTCTTTTGGTTGACCTAGTGTAGGGTTGAGGAGATTCCTCCTCTCTATCTAGATCTTCCTATACCTTCTCCTAGTACTATTTTTATCAGTTTAATACCTTCCGCGTCTCCTATCAGTGGACGTGTACACGGCATTGATTTTTGTAACAGGGAGATGGAAGAAGATGCTTGGTCGGTCCTCCTAACTGGAGACTGTGTTGCTGTACGGGTGGCAGGTGGAGCCATTTATAAAGTACACACTGCTTTGCAGACCAGGTATCAGTGGTCAGATGGACCCTTGCCCCAACACTGTGTGCCAGACATGCCATTACTTCCTTTTGCACAGTCGAGTACAGGTTGGGGATTGCCTTTTGCGCAAAGAAATTTTGGCCGGGTACCTTCCACTGCGGTGTCCCAATAGCTACAAATTTTTTGAACGCCTCAGACTCCACCAGATTGTATGGTAAAAGCTGGCGGGCTAATAGTTCAGACAAGCCAGGTGTCAGACGCCGGGCAAAAGGGGTGACTTTCTGACGCTTGCAGACAACTAACTGCTATTCAATCTATAACAGTGAAAAAAGTTTTGAAGCCACAGTGCAGCACCAGAGGGCCTAAAAATTAGGCATGTACACATGCCTGAAAAATTCGGTATTGTTGCAGCCGCTGCTGTAGCAGCGGCCAGAAAAAATGATGTTTGTTTCACAGGCAGAAAGTGCCCTAAAACATGGCTGCTTGAACCCTAGTTGGTGGCGGATAAGTCACGCAAGTCAACCGGCATTCAGAGCTAAAATACAGCAGTGTGTGGACCATTTTTAGCCCAAGGCAGCTCATCTCATCAGGCCTTTTTTACATGGGGTCACTTGGCAGATATGGATTGACACCTGTCCTAGGGATCCCTGATACACACTGACACAGAGCAGAATAGGGACTGTTCCTCCTACATAGGGTCACATGGCAGATATGGATTGACACCTGTCCTCAGAGACCATGACACACACTGACACAGAGCAGAATAGAGACTGTTCTCCTACATAGGGTCACTTGGCAGATATGGATTGACACCTGTCCTCAGAGACCATGATACACACTGACACACACACTTGGATGATATAGCCATTTTTAGCTGCTCCTGGCCCTAACACCTGACCCACATAGGAGCCGTACTAGACCGGATTAGGGAGGCCTGACTGACCCTAAAGCCCAGTAAGTGCCATATAGGAACACGTAAAAACCTCCCCAAGATAGTAGTATGGGCCCCAGAGTGTGAACAGGCCTTCCAACAGCTCAAGACGGCGCTCATTAAATCACCTGTACTTTCTGCTCCTGATCCAACTAAACACTTTCTCGCCCATACAGACGCTTCTATGTTTGGATTAGGAGCAGTACTGAGCCAAGTGAACGGGTAGCGAGCATCCCGGGGGCTTATCTAGCGTAAACTTTTGCACAGCGAAGATTCACTGCAGAGGTGCATGGCGGCGGTGGTGTGCTGGAGCCCTCAAAAAGCTGCAACCTAGCATGGACAACCGTTTACCTTACTCACAGATCACAACAAATTTGGGGCACTGCGCATGCAATCTAATGTGCCACCAGATAGGAGTGGTGTGTTTAGTACTATTTTTATCAGTTTAATCACTGTTACGTCCCCTATCCGTTGATGTGGAGCAAGACGCAGCAGCAGAAGAGGACTCAGCCGAGGAGGTTATGGAAGAGGATGGAGTATTAGGAGTAGAGGAGGTGGCAGCAGGCCTGCCTGCAAGTCATGGCGGTGTCACCAACTCCTCTGCAGAGTCACGCATTCCATGCTTGGCAGCCGTCAGCAGGTTTGCCCAATGCGCAGTGTAGGTGATATACCTGCCCTGACCATGCTTTGCAGACCAGGTATCAGTAGTCAGATGGACCCTTGCCCCAACACTGTGTGCCAGACATGCCATTATTTCCTTTTGCACAATCGAGTACAGGTTGGGGATTGCCTTTTGTAAAAATAAATTTCGTCCGGGTACAAGTGAGTGAGTGGTGGCACTGGGCACAGTATCCACTGTGAGCCTGACACACCTGCTGGCAGACAACTAACTGCTATTCAATCTATAACAGTGAAAAAAGTTTTTTTGTTTTTAAATGCAAGCTATTATGACACCAGATATGAGTGGCACTGTAAACTGGCAGAGTACACACTGTAGGGCTGACACACCCGCTTTAAGGACACTGACTGCTATTCAATCTAAAACAGTGAAAATAGTTTTTTGTTTTTAAATGCAAGCTATTATGACACCAGATATGAGTGGCACTGTAAACTGGCAGGGTACACGCTGTAGGGCTGACACACCCGCTTGAAGACAACTAACTGCTATTCAATCTATAACAGTGAAAAAAGTTTTTTGTTTTTAAATGCAAGCTATTGTGACACCAGATATAAGTGGTGGCACTGGGCACTGTATCCACTGTTAGCGTAACACACCCGCTTTAAGGACACTGACTGCTATTCAATCTATAAGAGTGAAAATAGTTTTTGTTTTTAAATCCAAGCTATTGTGACACCAGATATAAGTGGTGGCACTGGGCACCGTATCCACTGTTAGCGTAACACACCCGCTTTAAGGACACTGACTGCTATTCAATCTATAACAGTAAGAAAAGGTTTTTGTTTTTAAATCCAAGCTATTGTGACACCAGATCTAATTAGTGGCACTTGTCAGCGTATCCACTGTTAGCGTAACACACCCGCTTTAAGGACACTGACTGCTATTCAATCTATAACAGTAAAAAAAGTTTTTTGTTTTTAAATCCAAGCTATTGAGACACCAGATCTAATTAGTGGCACTTGTCAGCGTATCCACTGTTAGCGTAACACACCCGCTTTAAGGACACTGACTGCTATTCAATCTATAACAGTGAAAAGAAGTTTTTGGTTTTTTAAATGCAAACTATTGTGACACCAGATCTAATTAGTGGCACTTGTCAGCGTATCCACTGTTAGCGTAACACACCCGCTTTAAGGACACTGACTGCTAGTCAGTCCATAACAGTAAAAAAGTTTTTTGTTTTAAATCCAAGCTATGTGCACAGATGTAATTGGTGGCACTGACTGAAATGGGCACAGTATGCACTGTGAGCCTGACACAGAAGCTGGCAGCAGTGGCAGACAACTGACTGCTATTCAATCTATAACAGTGAAAAAAGTTTTTTGTTTTTAAATCCAAGCTATTGTGACACCAGATGTAATTGGTGGCACTGACTGGGGAAATGGGCACAGTATGCACTGTGAGCCTGACACAGAAGCTGGCAGCAGTGGCAGACAACTGACTGCTATTCAATCTATAACAGTGAAAAAAGTTTTTTGTTTTTAAATCCAAGCTATTGTGACACCAGATGTAATTGGTGGCACTGACTGGGGAAATGGGCACAGTATGCACTGTGAGCCTGACACAGAAGCTGGCAGCAGTGGCAGACAACTGACTGCTATTCAATCTATAACAGTGAAAAAGTTTTTTGTTTTTAAATCCAAGCTATTGTGACACCAGATGTAATTGGTGGCACTGACTGGGGAAATGGGCACTGTGAGCCTGACACAGAAGCTGGCAGCAGTGGCAGACAACTAAGTGCATTTACATTACATAGAAAAAAAAAATCCAAAAAAAGCATACCCTTATCCCTAACCTAGCTATGCTTTTCCCTATCTTATGAACAGCAGCTACACTTTCCCTCCTCTTACTAAGCATGCAGCTTGAGAATGAATCTAAAATGGATGCTGTCCAGTAGGTGGGAGGGTCTGCTAGGGAGGCTGTGCTGCTAATTGGCTGGAATGTGTCTGCTGACTGTGAGGTACAGGGTCAAAGTTTACTCAATGATGACGAATAGGGGGCGGGTCGAACCGCGCATATGTTCGCCCGCCGTGGCGAACGCGAACATGCTATGTTCGCCAGGAACCGTTCGCCGGCGAACCGTTCGGTACATCACTATTGAAATATTGAGAAATAGACAGATATTACACATTACACAGATGTGAGTAAACAGTTAAAAAGTAATATTTAGTTAAAATATATTTAAATATCATTTTAATAATAAAATTCATTGTTGCAAAATCAGATGTAATAAGACTCATAATTTAAAATACATAATAAAAAACATAATAAAAAAAAAATAATTTTTATTATAAATGGTCTAAGTACTAAATATAATTATAGTAAAAAGATATAAAATTTCACTCAAATATAATATATATCATTATATTAGGAGAGGAAAAAAAAAAAAAAAAAAACCTTTATAAAAAAGCCCTTAATTCGAAATCTACATTTAGACCTTTAGGTTCTAACGAATACATAATAAAAAACATAATAAAAAAAAAATTATTTTTATTATAAATGGTCTAAGTACTAAATATAATTATAGTAAAAAGATATAAAATTTCACTCAAATATAATATATATCATTATATTAGGAGAGGAAAAAAAATAAAAAACCTTTATAAAAAAGCCCTTAATTCGAAATCTACATTTAGACCTTTAGGTTCTAACGAATCTAGCTGAAATATCCATTTAGCCTCTGCTTTATCTAGTTCTTTCTTTAGATCTCCTCCTCTCCAAGGAATATTTACTTTTTGGATTGCCATAAAACTAAGTCCCTTAGGATCACTTGCATGTACAAGATTAAAATGTCTCGAAAGGTTGTGTGAATGAATTCCATTTTTTATATTTCTAATATGTTCTCCCATTCGAGTTTTAAAAGCTATTTTAGTACGTCCTATATATATTTTATTGCAAGGTACTGGTGTATTTTAAATTACACCAGTAGTATTACAGTTTAGGTGTGATTTTATTTTAAAAATTTATTTTGTTTTTAAAAGTTTTAGTCTCCAGTTTGTTATTTTGAATATAGAGACTTTGTCTCTTTAAAACCCTTGCTTACAAAAAAGATGATGTTAATTTACTCACTAAATGGGACCAATTGCTGGACAAAGGTTCCTTACTCCTCATGATATTTCTTATTAATGAAAAGAAAAAGGAATTAGAACAAATGGATAAAGATATAAAAGAAATGAAAGACAAATTGATCCCAGAAGTGGAAGATGGAACATATGTAGAATTGCTAGACAAAATAGAGAGAAGAGTCAAAGATTTAGAGATTCAAGTGAAAACTACAAAGCACAAAAAATTGATGAGAGACAAAGAGGATTATAATCTGGGAAGACAGAGAAATTGGAGAAAACATACATTCAACACACATGACAATCATCATAACAACTATCCACCATATCGTCAATATCAACCACGCAGATTATCCAGTTACCAAAATTACAGAAACCAATCACAACCATCCAAATATGTATACCCATCACGATCAGTCCCACAACAGCACTATCATCATTCATCCCACTTATCACACAAAGATCCCCCAGTACCTAAACCTTGCACTCCTTGCACTCCCCTTAAGAAACAACCACCATCTGTTAAACTACCAAAACACAATTCACCACCACAATCGTCACGAAGTTTATATGTAGAGACTCCCTCTTCGCCATCTTTTTTAGGAACTTTTTTAGGGAGAAAATGAATAAGAATACACTCAAGTGAAAGAGAGGAAACCATGCAGACTCACAGATCACCAGCCCAACGAAACATACGAATACCGATAGAACAGGAGACAAAATGGAGAGAATATACCCAATCACCGTCTCCCAAAAGAAAATCAAGGCAAAGAAGAGAACAAGACGGAGAAATACCAAGACAACAACATCACAATCACAATCAGACACAAAGGAAATAAATGTATTCAATTTATCTCAAAGAATATTATCAAAAGAGGAAACATCTCTACTCCAAAAAGGATTAAAATTTGCTCCCAGCTCATCAAATTCACAATTTGATATTTTTATTGATCTTCATAAATTTATCCGAAAACTAACCATCAAAAAAAATTTTCTTGACAAAGAACCACAAACCTCATGAAATATGGATACATATCAACATACTAATCTACACCCACAGTCTACGTTCTATCCAGAACAAATCAAAACAGACTACATCAGAGTCTTTGAAAAAAATATGGAGAAGGACTTCAGAAGATTAAATCTTAAAGATAAAACTACAGATAATCTGACTAAAAAAGAGAGAAAAGCCCTAAAACAATTAATGGAAGAAGAAAACATTACTATAAGGGGAGCAGATAAAGGTGGAGGCCTAGTGATATTAAATACAATAGATTATAAAAAAGAAACTCAAAGACTTCTTCAAGATACTAATACATATCAAATCCTTACAACAAATCCAACTAATGAATTTCAATTAGAGCTACAGATATTATTAGAAGAAGGAAAAGAGAGAAATATTTTAACCAAAAAAGAATACGATTATCTTTATTGTAAGTTCCCCAGAATGGCTATATTTTATCATGTGCCGAAAATACATAAAACTCTTGTAAACCCACCAGGCCGTCCAATTATTTCTGGTATAGGTTCTCTAACTTAATTTATCCGAGTATGTGGACCAATTTTTACAAAAAATAGTGCCTAAACTACGGTCTCATTTGAGAGACACTACTCACATCATCAACTTTTTATCAGATATAGAATGGAATTCAGAATATATTTTAGTGACAGCAGATGTCACATCCCTGTACACAGTTATTGAACACCTACAGGGATGTGAAGCTATCCAATATGCACTTGGCACTTTTTCAGATCTTAAAAATGATCAAATTGAATATATTGTAAAATGTGTAGCTTTTATTCTTAGCCATAACTTATTTTGGGCTAACCACCACCACTACCTCCAAATTGAGGGCACTGCCATGGGAACCAGATTTGCGCCAAGTTACGCTAATTTATTTATGGGTAAATGGGAAGATGAACATATTTGGTCCAACAACCCATTTGGCGCAAATCTGGTCTCATGGCATCGTTACATAGATGACTGTATTTTTATCTGGAAGGGAGATATCATTATGTTAGAAGATTTTAAACAATATTTAAATTTTAACCCTTATAACTTAAAATTTACTTTTAATCAATCTACAGAAAGACTCGAGTTTCTAGATCTTGAAATCTATATTCAAAATAACAAACTGGAGACTAAAACTTTTAAAAAATCAGTGGCATGTAATAGCTTTATTCCTCATAACAGCTTTCATAAAAAAACATGGCTCAATAATATTCCATTTAGCCAGTTTAGGAGAATAAAAAGAAATTGTTCTGAACCAAATATTTGTGTTGAACAAACTAAAATGATGAAAGCACAATTTCAAGCAAATGGCTATTCAAACAAAATTTTAGACCAGGCCTTAACCAAGACCTCTCTTTTATCCAGAAATCAAATCTTAGAAACTAAACCACAAAAAGATCTATCTAATCTGGAAGCTCCTACTTTTATAACAAGGTATAATAGCCAAACTCACCAAATTAGAAAAATTTTACAAAAAAATTGGAATATTTTAAAAGGAGACCCTCAATTAGAACAAATATTAGGTAATAAACCCTGAATAGTACATTCCAAAGCTCCTAATTTAGGTCTATTATTAGCACCAACAACAAAACAAGAAAAACCAAGAGAAAATAAAACTACCACTTTTAAAACAATAACAGGGTTTTGGAAATGTAAAAAATGCCAAGCGTGTATAAACAATCCAAATCAATCTTCAAATATCACAGAATTTACTCACCCACAAACAAAAGAAATTTTTAAAATAAAATCACACCTAAACTGTAATACTACTGGTGTAATTTATTTATTAAAATGCCCTTGCAATAAAATATATATAGGACGTACTAAAAGAGCTTTTAAAACTCGAATGGGAGAACATATTAGAAATATAAAAAATGGAATTCATTCACACAACCTTTCGAGACATTTTAATCTTGTACATGCAAGTGATCCTAAGGGAATTAGTTTTATGGCAATCCAAAAAGTAAATATTCCTTGGAGAGGAGGAGATCTAGAGAAAGAACTAGATAAAGCAGAGGTCTAAATGTAGATTTCGAATTAAGGGCTTTTTTATAAAGGTTTTTTTTTTCCTCTCCTAATATAATGATATATATTATATTTGAGTGAAATTTTATATCTTTTTACTATAATTATATTTAGTACTTAGACCATTTATAATAAAAATATATATTTTTTTATTATGTTTTTTATTATGTATTTTAAATTATGAGTCTTATTACATCTGATTTTGCAACAATGAATTTTATTATTAAAATGATATTTAAATATATTTTAACTAAATATTACTTTTTAACTGTTTACTCACATCTGTGTAATGTGTAATATCTCTCTATTTCTCAATATTTCAATATTTATATACTGTTGAATTTATCAATTGTTTTACACTTTCAACAATATGTATAGGTCCAATATATATTGTAAATTCATCATCTGTATGTTCAATTTCATTGTTTTATTATTCGTGATTATGTATGATTTATACAAATGAATCCAGTGCTATGAACCAAACCACTAAGAGTTAATATTAGCCAGCCAATTTGCTGGCTATTTAAATCCATGAGATGGTCCTATCAAGTATCCTCTGATGAAGTGAGAGAAGTCTCACGAAACGCGTTAGGACGACATTCAGAACGACACCACATTGCTTTCCGGCATTCACCGAAATACTGCCGACTTCTATCTGGAACGCAGGAGGGAAACCGGGTGAAACGCACGCGGCTAAGAACATTGCCGATCCATTCATCAAAGTGGCGATCGGACAGCACATCTATTTTTCTCCAGCTGCAAACTTTATTCCCCTGCAAAAGTATCCAGTATGTATTTGATATAATGTGAGTGGATCGTTTTTATTCTTTTTAACCAGTTTATTCATCAATAAATTATTTCATTTAGCACTTGGATTTTTAACTTTATTTCCTATTACTAGGAGTAAAGTGTCATTTACACTGTAAGTTATTTTATACAGTTTGTTAGCTATCACTAAAGTATCAGTGTGGCAATAGATACAATATTTCAGTTATAAGGACCATATAAACTGTTCATATTGTATTATATCAACAAACTAATTCAGTATCTAAATACCAGTTTATCTATAACTGGAGCTAACTGAATTAGCTTACATATACAGATCTACAACAGACTGTTATCTATTTGTTTTTAATCAAGGACTGTTATATATTAGAATTACTAATGCATATTTGCATTATATATATGCACTAATCTAAGTTTCTTTTATAGAAGAAGCAATAATTGGATGCTAATGTTCCATTTTTCCACAATTATTTTCCTTTTACCAAGTTTATGGAGCATTATTAGTTTATAGCTACAGACCACTCCTGGAGATTTTATAAAATTTTTATTTAATAATCATTTTTTCCTCATAAGTGGACAATAGGTCCCCACCATTGTGATTAATGGCCCCCACCCTCCGTGCAGGGGTGGGGGCCAGGGGAGGGGAGGACAGTAGGCCACCCCCATTGTCAGGCTGCTCACTGTTTAATAGACATGCCCCTACTTGACCAATTTAGGTCTTTCAGCTTTTTAGTAGATAACTCCCTAGTACCGTGGGAATTAGGGAGTTATCTACTAAGCGGCTGCAAGATGCAGCCACAGCACGAATAGGATCGGAGTTTCATTAATTCAAATGAAATTGCGATCCGACCAAAGTCCCAAATTGCATCCTAAAATGAATGGAGAAACTGTTCTCATTCTATTAGGATGCAATTCGGCAGTTTTGCCGGCGTTCTGTCTAAGTGACAGGACGTTTGGCAATACTGACAGGAAGCATCGTGGGAACAGGGAGGAAAGGTAAGAATTATGGGGAAATTGCTCTTACCAGCGGAAATGAAGCACACTTTGCTCCTCCGCTGGTCAAGCGGAGGAAACCTCCATAAGGCAAAGAGTCCCTACTTTGTCTTATGATTTTAAAGAAAACTACAGAAGACAGGAAGAAATAAAGAACAGATCCTGAGAGAGGGTGAGAAGAGGAAGAGATTGGGGAAAGGTAAGTTCGGCATGACAGTGCTGCTTTAAAAAAGTATGTCACCAATATCTTGCCCACATTTAGATATAAGAGAATTCAGTCTATTAAATTTATATTAATGCAATTAATTGTTTTGTGTTAGAGGTAAGTGTCACATGCAATAAATTGCAAATTCCAATACTGAACTCATTCTGATTTTTGTTATTGTAAAGTTATTAGGGTCAATAAAGCAACAGGAAACTGTAGACTGAGTAACCTTGACTCAGTGTTCCTTATTGTCACAGAAATGTCTCAATTAAAAAAAGGAATAATTATATCAGCTAAATTAAACATATATTATTAATGCTTATCTTATTTTTTTAGGTGAATCTTTTTTTTCTGTTAAATATTGTACGTGTTCTCATAACAAAACTGAAGGTCACCCATCAAGCAGAATCAAATCTCTACATGAAAGCTGTTCGAGCAACCCTCATTCTCGTTCCTCTTTTTGGGATTGAGTTTATATTGTTTCCATGGAGACCAGAGGGGCGGATTGCCGAAGAAGTGTACAACTATGTTATGCATATCCTCGTGCATTATCAGGTTGATTCTATATTTTATTTTCAGTAGGCAAATGCATGCATTTGTTTTTATTTTACAAGTAAGCACTCACAATATACTGGAGAATGCAGAAATTGATGAAGGTTAATTCAAATTGCTGGTGGCAGCCAAACACAATCCTTTTTTGAATCTTTGCATTTACCAGCTGCTAGCCATTACTAGTGGCATGTATTGCATCATTGGAACACTCATTATGCCCAAACCTGTCACCATCCCATTTTTATAAAAGCAAGAGGTATCTCTATTTTGACTTCTAAGTTTACCAAGAATTCTACATAACTGCTGAGAAAACGGGCACCACACTGAAATGCACTGCTTGGAGGAAAATAACTGTCTTTGCTCACAGATATTTTTTTTCTCAGTGAAATCATCAATAGAAGTATTGTAAACTAGAGAACTTTAGTATATGCTATAGCATAATATGTTAATGCTTGGTGAGTACTCCACTTTAGGTTTAACATACCACTTATTAGTAACCAAATTAAGGTTGAAACGTATATACCATTACATTTGCATTTCAGTGGCTAGAAGTTAAATGCTAAATGCTGTTAGTAGGAAAGGAAAACTAGTTTTAAAATAGATCAAAAAGCTAAATCTGACTAAAATATCAATCTTAAAGGTACACTATAGTCATCAGAACAACTACAGCTTATTGAATTTGTTCTTGTGAGTAGAATCATTACCTTCAGGCTTTTTGCTGTAAATACTGTCTTTTCAGAGAAAATGCAGTGTTTACATTACAACCTAGTGATAACTTCACTGGCCACTCCTCAGATGGCTGTTAGAGATCCTTCCTGGGTCATGGCTGCCTAAAATGCATCCAACTATTCAGTGTCTCCTCCCTCTGCATGCAGACACTGAACTTTCCTCAGATGAGATTCATTGATTCAATTAATCTCTATGAGGAGATGCTGATTGGCCAGGGCTGTGTTTGAATCATGCTGGCTCTGCCCCTGATCTGCCTCTATGTCAGTCTCAGCAAGTCCTATGGGGAAGGATTGTGATTGGATCAGACTACCACTTCTGCTGATGTCAGCAGGCAGTGGGCAGGTCTAAAGGAAAGAGGGACAAAGTAAGCAGCTCCAGACTTGATTACAAGTAAGACTTTACTATATTTAGGGAGGCATGAGGGGACCAGGGTGGCTAGATGGTGGTTTTAACCCTATAAGGTCAGTAATACATGTTTGTGTTCCTGACCCTTTAGTGCTCCTTTAAAGTCTTGTCTAGGTTACAAAGTGCATATTTTCAATGCATTTAAAAAATATGCATTAGAAACAAGGAAATACAGGGCGCCAAAATCACCAGATAAATAAACGAGGATAATAATAAAATGAATGAGGATAATACTGTTTATTTAATAATGTGCACCAACACTGTGCAAACAATAAAAAAATATATCTACATAAAAAGCCTAAATAGGCTAAAGACCCATAGGTATAGCAGCTCTACATAACATGAAAAAGTGCTAAATGCTAAAGTGCAGACAGTGAAATAAAGTGGCAGAGTGCAACTCCCATCACTTCAAGCTGGTATACATAGATAATGTCCACAACTGGTCACGTAGGCAAAAGTCATGTAAAACAGAAACTGCTGATACCAAAGTGGAAGGGTCCTCAGTGCTGCTCAACGAGTTTCGTCCTTTAGACTTCATCAGGAGCTTCTTAATCTTCTCACGCTCTTCTCTCTTTTAAATCTGCCGGTCTGCCGGTTCTTTCGTGACTGAACAAGCTATTTTTATTTTGGATCTTATTAGGTTCATTTTATTTCATAATTATTTTTGGTTTGAAGGGTCTTATTACCTCCAAACATGTGGAACAGCGATGGGCACCAGGTTCGCACCAAGTTATGCCAACATTTTTGTGGCAGATTGGGAGTGGAATAATATATGGCATAATAATCCGTTTGGTGCGAACCTGGTGCAATGGAATCGTTATATAGACGATGTTCTTTTTATCTGGAAAGGGAATAGAAGTTGCCTTGATGAGTTTTTAATGTATATCAATTCTAATGGTTATGGTCTTAAATTTACATCAGATATTAATGAAATATCTATTAATTTCTTAGATCTCACCTTATTTATAAAAGAAGGAAAAGTTTTCAGTAAAACCTTTTTTAAACCTACGGATGGTATTGGTTTTATTGAGTTCTCCAGCTGTCATCATCGTAATTGGTTAACCAATATCCCCAAAGGACAGCACATGAGAATCTTCAGAAACTGTACGGAAAAGGACTTAATTGAGAAAACGATCCGTAAAAACTGGCCTATTTTATTACAAGATAGATTTTTAAAGAACATTTTACCTAAGAGACCTAAGATATTATATAAGAGGCCTAATAACCTTAGGAGTATTTTAGCCCCTAGCATTTTACCTAAGAAGGAGGTTGATAAAAGTGGTATTAATTTTTTATCTGAAAAAAACCTAAAGGTTTTTTTAAATGTGGGAGATGTACTACATGTAAGTTTCAGAAAAATAAGGTAACAGAATTTTGTAGTTCAGTAACCAAGGAAACTTTTCAGATCAAGCACTTTATCAATTGTCAAAGTCAATTTGTTGTTTATATGTTACAATGTAAATGTGGCGTCCAGTATATAGGACGCACAATTAGGAAACTTCATATAAGACTACTTAAACATTTTAATGGTATTAAAAATAAGAATACGAAACATAGTGTTCCCAGACATTGTAACGAATGCAGTGATTTTGATTTTAAGGATTTTATGTGTATAGGGATTGATAAAGTTATACCACATTGGAGAGGGGGTGATACAGAAAAGATGCTAGCAAAAAGGGAAACTGAATGGATATATAAAATGAAATCCTCTGTTCCCTTAGGTCTCAATACAGATTTGGATATTTTATCTTTTATTGATTAAGTTATTTATATTTATCCTTTTATGTTTTTTAAAAAATGTTTTAAAAAATAAAATATTTTATAAAATATTTTATAAAATAAATAATATATGAATATGGACATTTTTCTAGATTTATTTATGGTCTCCTTATGAAATGTTTTTTAAATAATGTTTTTTAAATGTTTTTAGATTTATATATGTTTGACGCTGAATATTTTTCCCTCTGTTTTTTATGTTATTTAAGATTCATTATAGATGTCCCCATCTTATTTATCTATATATATCCATTTATTTTTATGGACATATCTTTTTATGGATGTATTATCTGTCTCTTTATTGTCATTATCATTATTATGATCTTGGATTACCTACATATATTGTATTCATTTTATTCATGTTAAAAATGAGTATTCATTTTATTCATGTTATAAATGTGCTTCTAGTGTTTTTTATTCCCTTCCTGTTTGTAATAGATATATCTTTAAATAGATTTTAGATATATCATCATTTTTCCTATTTGTGCCATCATTTTTCCTATTTGTGCACCTTTTTTATATTCACAATTTTTGCTTATAATAATAATTTTTGTTTTTAATATATTCCTTTTTTAATGTATTTTCTCTTCCCCATGAAGCCACATTTATATATCGAATCAGCCGACAGTCTTAGCGTGAATTATGAACGTTCTTGCTGTAGGACGTTCAGTTGCTACTGTGCACATAGAACAATAAAGATTATTTGCGTTCCAGCGTGGCCGCCCATGCGCAGAACATTCACGCGTGCGTCATGACGTATGACGGTGCGCGTGACGGGCGCATGCGCAGTCACGAAAGAACCGGCAGATTTAAAAGAGAGAAGAGCGTGAGACGATTAAGAAGCTCCTGACGAAGTCTAAAGGACGAAACGCGTTGAGCAGCACTGAGGACCCTTCCACTTTGGTATCAGCAGTTTCTGTTTTACCTGACTTTTGCCTACGTGACCAGTTGTGGACATTATCTATGTATACCAGCTTGAAGTGATGGGAGTTGCACTCTGCCACTTTATTTCACTGTCTGCACTTTAGCATTTAGCACTTTTTCATGTTATTTAGAGCTGCTATACCTATGGGTCTTTAGCCTATTTAGGCTTTTTATGTAGATATATTTTTTTATTGTTTGCACAGTGTTGGTGCACATTATTAAATAAACAGTATTATCCTCATTCATTTTATTATTATCCTCGTTTATTTATCTGGTGATTTTGGCGCCCTGTATTTCCTTGTTTCTACTGTATGTTTTAAGGTTTGAGTGACCTTTTACAGTGGCTTGCCTTCATCCAGATATCACTACACTTCACCCAACCCTATACTTGTTCCAAAAAATATGCATTTGCTCATTTTCAAAAAAGAATTTCCTGGGCTGATCTCTATAGGCTTTGATTGTGTCTGCAATCAGTCTTCTTGTAATATACTTATTTTATCTCACATGGGAAGCTGCTGGCAGGGAGTAATGCTTTATGTTGGCAGTCGCTGGCAATTAACAGAGCTATGAATGCTGTGTTAATATGGTCTCCCCCTACAATTCCTAAATTAATCACTATTACTGATGTTTGGTGTGTGAAATTTAAATATATTGATATATATTTTCAGGAGTTGTAGGAAGGCTGTGTTATTTGTCAGCAAGAGTAGGTATGGCTAGAGCTACAGAAAAAAAGGTAATTTAAAGAGATACCCTAAGACTCCAAACCACTCCATGTTAATGAAGCGAATTTAGTGCATAGACCCTGTTTCTATTCTCTGGCAATAAAATAAATTGCCATTTCAGAGAACCAACTATGTATACATTTGCCATAGGACACACTTCTGCTGGCTGTCAGACTGACTAAAAGCACTTCATCATGAAGACCTTTGAAAACCACATGGTGATGCTCAATGTTGTTTATGCTTCTAATAGAGTAGTGATGTAGTGATGGAGCACAATAATTGGCATGCATGCACGATATAACCACAATGCTCATTGAGTCTTGGATTGAACAAAGCCTTGGTTGATAATTTCACAGAAGGCTGTAGAGAGCAAACTGTCATGGTGCTATATTAATTGTATATCTTATAGAGATATTTCTTTTTCTTATGAGCAGGGGCCCTTAAACCCTTTTAAAAAAATCTACAGGAGCATAATGTTATATTATTTTACTTTTTTTTTTAATTAGTGTGCTTTTTTAATAAAATAATTTGGTGAACTAAATAATTAGCAACCCGACATTTGTGGAATCAGCTTAAAACATAATGGGTGAGATTTATAAGTGTCACCAAGACTTTTAGGTCTTATCTTCAGCAAATGTTTTATTTATGTATTTTTTATTGAAATTGTTTTCAGTCTGTTATTTTTTGCATAATTTTTTTAATATATGCCATCTTTTTAAGTAACACAACTGATTTATCAGTCTTAAAAACCACTTTTTTTTTTCTAAAAGAAAAGTATTATATTCAACTTCTCTTTTTCCTACAACTCTAATTGTGTATGTCTTCTGAAATTGGAATTTCTGTAAAATGTAGAGTTTATGATCACATTTAGTTAAAAATAAGGACGTAGTTTAACCATAATTTTGCAGAACACACTGATACATATTACCCACTATGTTCTAAAAATAAGGTGTCAGTTATTGTTAATCAAATGCCTTGTGCGTGTATATTCTAACTTCATTTAACTCTTCTTTTTACAGGGATTGTTGGTGGCTACAATTTTCTGCTTTTTTAATGGGGAGGTAATTATGAAATCTCTACAATTATTTATTGTAGCTATAGATTTGGTATCTACACAGGAATATAGTACATTATGTAATAATTGAGGGATACATATCTTACCTGGGAATGCTACTGTTTTACTCTAGATCTAGTAGATTTTATAGCTCATTACTGGGTTTCTGGACAGTAGTTTATTCTTTGAACATGAAGAGTATAATGTGAGTTTTAAACCTTATAGAAAGGTTGACAGGGTGCTATATTTTCTAGGAAATATATCATATAAATCATATTTGGTGGCAGAAGTAGGTAGCATTTATATGCCAACATAAAAATGAAATTGAATACAATCAGATAGACAGATGGATAGAGGGACAGACAGGCAGGTAGAGGGATACAGTTATGAGAAAAATAATGTACACCCTCTTTGAATTCTATGGTTTAACATATCAGGACATAATTACAATCATATGTTGCTTAGCAGGTCTCAAAATTAGATAAATACAACCTCAGATGAACAACACATGACATATTACACTATGTCATGATTTATCTAACAACAATAAAGCCAAAATGGACTTCCTACTGATATATTACTTTACCTGTAGAAAACTGGTTTAATGTATGCTCCTTAAGTAGGACTGGGATTGCTATGAAAGGCCCCCCCCCAATAACACACTGGGTTGATCAACATTGCAGCATATTTTGTTAAATTTATTTAAGGAATAATACAAAATGTTGAAAAGAATGTTGGAAATATTTGAAAAACCATGCATCAGTTGCTGTATTATTTAAAAGGGACACTGTAGTCACCGGAACAACTCCAGCTTAATGTAGTTGTCCTGGTGAGTATAGTCATTTTCAGAGAAAAGGCAGTGTTTACATTACAGCCTAGGGACATTTCCAGTGGCCAATCCTCAAATGGCTACTAGAGGTGCTTCACGTGGCAGTGTTACACAGTGACATTCAGTGTCTGAGAGAGAGACTGAAATTTCCTCATTGATTCAATGCATCTCTATGAGGAGATGCTGATTGGCCAGGGTGGTTGTTTACTGCCCCCCTGACCTATCTCCTTGGCAATTTCGATCAATCCAATGCTTTCCTGTGGGAAAGCATTGTGATTGGCTCAGATCATCACTTCTGATGATGTCATCCAAGGAGGCAGATCAAAGGCAGAGCCAGCACCAGCAGACTGGAAAAATGTAAGATTTTACTATATTTAGAAGGGCAAGTGGGGGAGCAGGGAGGCTTTAGTGTTTTTAACACTATAGGGTCATTAATACACATTTGTGTTCCTGACCCTACAGGGTTCCTTCAGTTCATTTCTACTTATTCATCTTAACATTGTGTCAGGTGTTGTGTCTCTAGAGAATTACTTTTCTTTTATTTTCTTTCGAAAATAAATATATTTGTATAGGGAGTTTCACACTGCATGCATGTATATAGCCGAGCACAAGAGGGTTTACATTATATACAGATTCATGATCAATACTGGTAATTAACAATTCATTAGAATTACTTTTTCTAACAACCAGTTAGTATTTTTGAACAGAACATCTCCAGTGTACCAGTAATTTATTCACAAAGTGCTTAGAACGTCATAACTATAATTTTATATTTTGTTTTTCACACCACAGGTACAAGGAGTCTTAAAAAGACAATGGAATCAGTACAAAATTCAGTTTGGAATTAGTTTAGCTCATTCAGAAGGTCTTCGTTCTGCTTCCTACACAGTGTCTTCTATCAGTGAGGTCCAGGGTACCACGTATGTGGCTGATTATAGCAGTGAACATTCAAATGGGAAAAACTGCCATGATATGGAAAATGTTTTTAAATCAGAGAAGTCATACATGTAAAATATGTTATCACTGCTTTTTATATAAATAGATCTTTATTGTCTATTTGCAGTGTGTGTGTGTGTGTGTACACAATTTGTTCTATCCCACATAGAAGAAAGTATATTTAAAATATATTTTAAAACATTTATTTGAAATATAAATTATATTTGTGACTGTATTTCTGAATATATGTTTTAAATATATTGCAGCAGCCATGAATATCTTTCAAAGTGTATTTTGGAAGACGTTCTGAAATATACATCGAAAATATTCTAGGGTATATCTTAAGAGTACTTCAAAATGCATGTAGAAATATATTTCCAAATATGCAGTATACCTGGCAGACAAATTAAAGAATATATTTCCATGATATTTTGAAATGCCCTTTCAATATATTGCCATAAAACCAGCCAATATTTCTACTGGTTGTCAAAATATATTTCCAATGCATTCGAAAGAATTTGCTGGTTGTGAAAAAACACTTGTTTTCCTGGCACTATAGTGCCCTGAGGGTGCCCCCACCCTCAGGGTCCCACTCCCGCCTGGCTCTGGGGAGAGGAAAGGGTTAAAACTTACCTTTTTTCCAGCGCCGGGCAGGGAGCTCTCCTCCTCCTCTCCGCCTCCGATCCTCCTCTTCGGCTGAATGCGCATGCACGGCAGGAGCTGCGCGCGCATTCAGCCGGTCTCATAGGAAAGCATTTACAATGCTTTCCTATGGACGCTTGCGTGTTCTCACTGTGATTTTCACAGTGAAAAGCACGCAAGCGCCTCTAGCGGCTGTCAATGAGACAGCCACTAGAGGATTTGGAGGCTGGATTAACCCTAACATAAACATAGCAGTTTCTCTGAAACTGCTATGTTTATAAAAAAAAAAAGGTTAATCCTAGAGGGACCTGGCACCCAGACAAGTTCATTAAGCTGAAGTGGTCTGGGTGCCTAGAGTGGTCCTTTAATAGCATTGTACAATTTATGTTTGTGATTATGCTGAGGTCTTGACTGATGTTTCCTACAATTGGCCATATTTAAACTCAGCAATGCTTCTGTTTACTGCGTCACTTATGATGCCTTTTGAAGTTCCAGGAACCTTCTCCAGAGTAGGTGCTTTTAAAAGTTAATGAAAAGTATTGAATTTATGAGATTTTTGTTATGAACCAATACCTCTGTAACAGGTGCAACAAAATAAATTAAACAAACAATATCAGACAGTTATAAATACATTCAAATATTGTAGGCCTATAAAATCAGTATTAAACCAGCATCTTGCCTACAACAAGCTTCATTGTGCAAAGTACAACCAGATTAAACAAACTACTTTACTTTGGTACAACTGTCAAAACTGGCTCATACAAACATACAAAAGTAAGCCCTGCGCTCAAACTCCCATTACACCCGGGTGACAGCAATATAGTACACATCAGCCCAAATACATACAATAAAAACCAAAGAAAAACTTGCGCACTATCCCAAATCCCTATGTACATTTAAATAACTGGAGTTATTTTAATATCACTCCAATGGCCATTAAAGTGTAAGCTCATCTGCCACGTCAAGGCAAAACCTCTAAAGGTGAGTCCTACAACAATTAAGTTAACTAACCAACTAAATATGTCATGTGTGTGTGTGTGTGTATATATATATATATGTATATTTGTATATATATATATATATATTTCTTTTCTAAATATATTTAAAATGTATTTCTCTTCTATATGGGGTGAGCTTCCTGCGTACCTTCAGAGATGTCCTACAGTAGAGCTTTCCTTTTGTTTAGCCACTTTGGATTGTATTCTTTCTACACTTGGGTCAATGACAACATACATCTGGGGAAATTGTCATATGAGTGTCTGCTTTCTTTCAATATATGGTTTGGAATGATGGTAATGTCATGTTGTAACATTTATTTCAGGAACCGTTATTGTGATATTTGAATTATTCTTGTCAAGTGCCATTTCTCAATAAAGTATTTTAACAGTGTGGTGGTCATATTAGCTAAGGTACGTTAAAAAAATATAATAATCTCACCTTACAGCATGAGAAAACAAAGCAAGATACACAATAGTAAGACTGATGAGGAACAACGTGTGTGTGTGTGTGTGTGTATGTATGTATGTATATATATATATATATATATATATAGTGTTCAAGTAGAGATTGTAGCCGTATTAGTCCAGTGATGTAGATGTAAAAACAGATAAAACACGTATCTTGTATACCTTTTTTATTGGACTAACAGAATTTTTTAATGACAAGCTTTCGGGAGAACCTCCCTTTCTCAAGTCTGAAGCATTTCTGAGCAAGACGACACATAGAATTAAAGTTGAGTTGTGATACAGGGGTTAAAGCGACATGAGTCCAGATAAGACACAGGTTTGTTAGAAAATAGACACCATTTTTGCAGAGGGTCATAAATATCTTTCTGAAGAGCAGAGTGAGGGGGGGAGAGGGAGAAGAAAAACAAACAAGCAGATAGTGCAGAAGATGGTACACTTTATACATACACACATAGGCGTGCGCAGCCTATTGTATAAGGGTGTGCACCCTAAAGCAGAAATACACACACATATATATATATATATATATATATATATACACACACACACACACTGCTGTGTGTGAGGGTGCTGTGTGTGTGTGTGTGTGTGAAGGTGCTGTTAGTGTGTGTGTATGTGTAAGGGTGCTGTTAGTGTGTGTGCGTGAGGGTGCTGTTAGCGTGTGCTGTGTGTGTGTGAGGGTGCTGCTAGTGTGTGTATGTTTAAAGGTGCTGTTAGTGTGTGTATGTGTAAGGGTGCTGTTAGTGTGTGCTGTGTGTGTGAGGGTGCTGTGTGTGTAAGGGTGCTGTTAGTGTGTGCTGGGTGCTTTGTGTGTAAGGGTGTTGTTAGTGTGAGGGTGCTGTTAGTGTGTGTGTGTGTGTAAGGGTGATGTATGTGTTTGCTGTGTTAGTGTGTAATGTGTGGGGTGTGGGGGCCGTTTAGTTAATATCCCTTCTTACCTTATGTAGGGAGGGGGGACCGTGCTGCTGCCATCCCTGGTGGGCCAGTGGAGAGTGAACTCTAGCCCCCTGTGGGCTAGAGTTAACCCTCCGACCACGCGAGAGGAACCTGGCGGAGCTGCTGGCAAGAGCTCCCCGAGTCCTCTCCTGCCTCCCTCACTTCCTGTGGGTCGGCAGCGGCCCACGGAGGGAGGCACATAGCACGTACTGCGGGGATTAGGGTGTGCCTAGGCACACCCGGCACACCCCGTGCGCACGCCTATGCATACACACACACACATAAATATGTATATGCGAACGCATAAACACATGTACATATACATAATCACATATACATACATTTACATGAACTCATATACACAAATATAAATGCACAGTCATATATATAAGCATACATGCATAAGAGTATGGGAAAGCATAGGTCTATACATAGTACTTTATATATTTATAGAATAAACACATTGGAATGCGTTTTAAAGTGTTGATACATATGACAGAACAGTAAGATATTGTGGGGGAGTGTTCATGTAAAGTGTTGGTAGTGGGACAGGAAACCCAAATCAATAGTTAGTCCTCTATTCTTGCTGTTAAACCATTTGATCATTCTGGCTTCAAATGTTTTTCTTTCTTGGGTATTTTTAAAACCCCCTTTCAGTTCTTTGATTTTTAGGTCCTTCAGTGAGTGGCCAGGCTGGGTAAAGTGGTGTCCCACAGGAGTGCAGTGGGATTCTTCTTTATGGTGTTTAATGGAGTGTCTGTGCATATTCATTCTGCCATTTAATGGCTGGGTGGTTTCCCCAATGTAGCATCCTAGGTGGCATTTGGTGCATTGAATCATGTATACCACATTGCTGGATGTGCAGGAGTATGAACCTTTAATGCTGTATGTTTTATTGTTGTGTGTGGCTGTGTTGTCTGTGCATATGTGCTGACACAGTTTGCAGTGAGGTTTTTTGCTTTGACTGGTCCAATTTTCTTTATTCTTACCATCAGTGGGCAGCTTCCTGTTGATTAATTTTTGTTGGAGGTTTGGTGGTTGTCTGAAGGCCAAAATGGGTGTTTCAGGGAAAATGTTTTTCAGAGTCTCATCTTCTGTTAACATTGGTTGTAGGTCTTTGATGATTTTCCATATTTCCTCAAGAGCTGGGTTTTAGATGACCACAAGTGGCACTTGTGTAGATATTTTTTTCTCTCTGTACTGTAGCAGGCGCGTGCGTGGAGTTTTTACAGCAGAGTTGATTTTTAGCCTTTCTGTCTCATAGATTGGGAGAGTACATTTAGATGGGAATTACGGTCATTAGGATCAGGGCATATGCGATGGTACCTAGTGGCTTGGCTGTAGATGATGCCCTGCTTAGTATGGGAGGGGTGGAAGCAACTTCTGTAGGTAACTGCACCTGTCTGTGGGTTTTCTGTAAACCGAGGTGTGGATTGTGCCATTGTTACATGTCACAGTGGTGTCCAGAAAATTCACAGATCTAGTGAAATATTCCATTTTTAGTTTGATTGATGGATGGAATGTGTTGAAAGAGTCATGGAACTGTATCAGTTTTTCTTCGTTTTCAGTCCAAATTATGAAAATATCATCGATATAGCGATAATATTTGTATGGTTTGGTGTGCTCTATTTCTAGGAATCGCTGTTCAAGATCTGCAATCTTAGTACCCATAGAAGTGCCCGTGATTTGTAGGTAAACCTCATTGTTAAAACTGAAGTAGTCCCCACCTACTTCTGAGACACTTAGTGGGGCCTAGGATAGTCGAAGTCAGAGGGGTAACACACTCCTGGTGAAACTAACGCTATGCAGCTCTGCTTGGACCCCCACCCCTCCATCCCACCCTCCAAGTTTACCTTAAACTATCTCACCCCATCTCCTCAGATCTTTGAGGACGCTTTTCCTTTTTCTGATTCCAATCTTTTGAACTATCTTTTCTTTTTTATATAACTGTAAGATCGTGCATAACAGGGCGACAAAAAGGGTCACAGTGAAGCAAGTGTGTGTATGTGTGTGTGTGTATATATATATATATATATATATATATATGTATACATACATACATACACACTACCCTTAATGGTTTTATGGGCAAGCAACTGCACGGTACTTGCATGTTTTTATCCACTACTAAAAAAAAAAAAAAAAAAACAAGCGGGATATCTTGAGATAATTAAAGAAGTGATCTAACACCTAGGGAAATACAGGCAAAAACACATTTCACGATCTCAAAAACTGTAAGTTGTACAAATTGAACTTTGCATTCCTGTTGATGATGTTAAAAGCCAAAAATATGGCGTATATGCCTATGTGTAATTGTTTTTAAAATGGTTATGTGTAATATGTATAAGATGTCCTGTTTTGGAATAAATAAAGAATTTAAAAAAAAAACTAAAAAAAAAACCTGAAGTAGTTATGTGTGAGGATAAATAGTGCCAGTTCTGTGATAATTCGGGGGCTGTATTTTTGGTTGTCAGCATAAGAGAGGAAATGGAAGCTAGCATTGATGCCATCTGTTTGTGGAATGTTGCTGTACAGAGATTCCACATCCATGGTTACAAGGATGGTGTTAACAGGGAGATTGGTGATTTGGCTGAGTTTGTTGAGGAAGTCGGTTGTGTCTTTTATGAAGCTGTTGGTGACTAGAGGTTTTAGGGTATTTTCTACCAGTCCTGATCTGTTCTGAGAGAGTTCCCATTCCTGTAATTATGGGTCTTCCAGGATTATCTGCTTTGTGGATTTTGGGAAGCATATAGAGAGTGCCCATGCATGGACTGGATGGTATGAGTGATTAAAGTTCTAGATGCAAATTCTCAGGGAAGGATTTAATGAGCTCCCTAAGTTGTAATGTATATTCTTAGTCCAATAAAAAAGGTATTACAAGATACAAATTTTATCTATATCTATTTATATACATATATACACACACACACACACACCACACACTGATCAGCCACAACATTAAAACCACCTGCCTAATATTGTGTAGGCCCCCCTCGAGCTGCCAAAACCGCTATGACCTCTGAACATGTCCTGTGGTATATGGTACTAAAACTTTGGCAGCAGAATCACATTTCTTTTGGATCAGGTGTGTGTGCCTTGTTTACCTGGGGAAGAGATGGTAGCACTATGGGAAGAAGGCAGCCTGGCAGAGGTAGTGTTATGCTCTAAACAATGTTTTGCTTGGAAACCTTGGGTCCTAACATTCCTGTGGATGTTACATTGATATGTATTACCTACCTAGCCTAACCATGTACACCCCTTCGTGACAATGGTGGTCCTTAAGGCAGTGGCCTCTTTCAGCACACACAGTGGCCTCTTACCACACTGCAAAAATGGTTCTGGAGTGGTTTGAGGAACGTGATAAAGAGTTCAAGATGTTGCCTTGGCCTCCAAATTCCCACAGTCTCAATCCGATTTGAGCATTTGTGGGATGTGCTGGAATAACAAATCTCATCTATGGAGGCCCCATCTCACACCTTGCAGAACCTAAAGGATCTGCTGCTACTGTCTTCGTGCCAAATACCAGAGGGCACGTTCAAACGTTTTGTGGATTCCATGCCTCGAAACAAATCAGAACTGTTTTGGCAGCACATGTGAAATAAACAATATTAGGCAGGTGATTTTAATGTTGTTGGTGATCAGTGTTTAAAGGGATCCTATAGTGCCAGGAAAACAAAGCTGTTTTCCTGGCACTATAGATTTAAAAGGTGCAATCCTCCCTCCCGCCCCCCCTCCCGCAGGGCTGAAGGGGTTAAAATCCTGCAGCCACTTACCTGAATCCAGCGCCAGAGACCTAGTGTGCATGCGCAGCAATGGCTGTGCTCCCATTAGCATTTCCCCATAGAAAAGCATTATTCAATGCTTTCCAGAGGGAAAAAATCTGACGCTGGAGGTCCTCATGCAGAGCGTAAGGATGTCCAGTGTCAGGTAACAGACCAAAGGTCTGTTTCGATTCCGAAAGCCCTGTAGTGGATGTCTGGTAGACAGCCACTGAGAGCAGACTTAGAGCTGCAATGTAAATATTGCAGTTCTCTGGAATTGCAATGTTTTCCTTTGCAGCACTAAGTGCAATAGGGACACAGCACCCAGACCACTTCAATGAGCTGAAGTGGTCTGGGTGCCTACAGTGTTTCTTTAACTATTCTGGGATTCAGATAGTTTTATATTCATTTATAATATAAGACAAATGTAACTTAACCAAAGTCCCAGGGATTGTTAGGGAAAAGTAAGAGTTTTATGAACTGAATCTGATCTTAGGTTAACTATGTAATTAGAGTACTGTCCTCTGAAGGAGAGGGATTTAGGAAAACCCCTCACCAGGGTGTATGTGTGCTGGTTGGGAAAATCTCTTGTGAAAAGTATCAAAGAGGCACAAAAGAGAGAAAGCAAAATTGAATTGTGGATTGTAGTCGAGGCCTATCCATGCAAGACCTACTCCATCCTTAGAAACATAAGTTGGCATGGCACTTTCTTCACTGAGTTCCCCTGGAGGCTCATTGGTAAGTAACTCTTTAGCACTTGCTCCTCTGAGAGGTGCTACTCTTGTCATGAAAACAGGGCCAAAGCACCATCCCTAGAATTGAATGGTAAAGCATGACCAGCAGTTCACTATTTTGCAATAAGGAGACACTAGAGGAAGATGCTCATCAGCCAATCTTAATTAACTGCACAGACTGTCTGACTGACAGCTTTGGCAGTGTGGTTAGAGCATGTAAAAGGAAGACACAAAAATGGATAAGCGCTAAGGAAACATCTGACTACACTTAGGCAGCAAACACTGGGTATAGGGGGTACCCTTAAACCCTAACAATAGGCAGCATAAAATACAAAAAAAAAAACTGCTTGAGCCAAAAGGTGTAAATCGATAGTATAATATAATAATGATATTAAAAAGTACAAGCTTTCACAGTCCAAATATCGCAATCACAGCTGTTTCTGGATTCTTGGGAAATGTTGGTTCTTGGTTAAGATGCTTGCAAATATATGTATGTAACAGTAGTATATGAGGTAGCACTCACATGTTATGGAGCTTAAACTAACTCTGTAAGACTGCTTGCAGGGGTACAATCCCCATTGATAGATATAACTTATGAGGCAAATATCTCGATGTGCAAGTAGGTATATGAAAGAAGAAGAAAATATCCAGTAGTGCTCACTGTAAACATAAATATGTGATGCAGTACAAAAATTTATTATCCTCACATTTGATAGAGCGTTAAGTTGCTCAAATATATGTGCATGGTGGTACAATCTCCACCAGAGATATGTAGGTAAATAGTTGTCCAGATCTGAAGTTAGGTACAAATTGCTTACAAAGTGTAATAAATGGTCTATATACATCAATGGGGACTGTATCACTGCAAGCTAGTTTCGAGCTAGTTTAACCCCTTAAGGACACATGACATGTGTGACATGTCATGATTCCATTTTATTCCAGAAGTTTGGTCCTTAAGGGGTTAAGCTCCATAACATGTGAGTGCTACCTCATATACTACTGTTGTGAGTCTTTTTTTTTTTGCCAAAACATTCTGCACTATCATTTGTCATTTTGTGTCTTCCTACATATATTTGCAAGCACCTTAACCAAGAACCAACATTTCCCAAGAATCCAAAAACAGCTGGGATTGCTATATTTGGACTTTTTTATTTTATTATATTATTCTATCATTTTACACCTTTTGGCACAACCTGTTTTTTTGTATTTTATACTAGAGCATGTGCACAGACAGAGATACTAAATAAAAAAACAGTTGCAGAAAGGACAACCAGAAGAGCCTTCATGTACGCTTGCTACCTTCGCCTTTTGATTTAGTGAACACGTTTTAATTTAAATACTTTGCATTGGGAGCAGCAGGAAATTTTGGCAGGGGTATATATGGGGTCTGGGGAGCGCAGGGAATAGAACCGCAGACCATAATAAGCTTTGCAAGTAGTAAAGGAAAAGTGCCACTGCTTCTTGCAGATATTGTCAGGATTGGATTACAGAATGATCCAGCACGTAGAATTGTGTAACACAGAGGACTGATAGGTAACGTATAGGGTACGAAATTCTATGGCATATCTTAAAATGGCCGGACTAACGTACCAAACAATAGTCAGGAATAGCCGAGGTCAAGGGATACAGAAAGAGACACAACGATAAGGAAAAGCCAGGAGTCAGGGATGCCAGAAAACAGGGAAGTCAAAAACAATGCAAAGTCAAATAACCAGAATTACCAGAATGAATAACACGCTCTTGGACCACGACAAGGGTACTGAGCAGGATGAGAACTGGGCCTAAATACCCTTCCTCTTGATCTGATAGGCTGTAACCAACCTTTGACCCCAAAGGCAGTTATCAGGTTCTCATTTGCATAATTGCTGCTCAGCATTAACCCTTCTGTGGATTTTGTTGCTGCTCGGCACAACTTTTCCTGTGTGGACATAAATGCCATTAACCACATTTTTACGTGCGGATGGATACGTGACAGATATACTATGCAGGTAGGCCCTGATTCAAGCCAAATATGCAGTCAAATGCCAGTTATCAGTATTGTGGAAGAATTTTTGGGTCAGAGATGATGCAGGGACACTCCAAACACTCCAGACACAGGTCATTGAAGAACAAAGGCTATTTGTTGTTTTGCAGCTGCAAAGTCCCAGTCAGACAATAATCTTGGAATACACGTTTACAAGAGAACAAAGAATATATACCACAAATGACGTATTCCATACGTATACAAAGAATACAAAAATTACACCTACTGTCAGGATTCTATCCTGACAACCAAGGATACCTGTTTCTCACCTCTAGTGGCCTCCCTAGCCACTAGTCAATCCTCAGTTACTCTCACCTGCCTCATTTGATCTTCCAAGTCTGCTATAAAAGGTCACACCCAAATCTTCACATGGCCTTTACATTGAAGTCAGTGTTGTGACATAGAACTTCTGATCCTGGCTCCTGAAAACATCCTGATCCTCTATTGGGACTCCGTGTGTCCCGTTGCCGGAATCCTCCTGAAACTCTTATCTTCAACTACTGCAACTCTGAAAGATCCTGTAAGCAACCTGTATTACATTATACTGGAATCTACTTACCGTACCTGTTTCAACTGTATCATCCTGAACCTGGCTGCAGTGTGACATTCCACAGATTACTAATCTATTTGGGAATAAAGTATTGTGTTTTTAGGATATACTCCTTGGAGCGCATCCTTGTTATTTTTGATACTGTATATGCTTTTACTGTACTCATTTCAATGTTTAGACACTGTCTGGATTCTTCCTTGCATGCTCTTTATTGTCATAAGTGAAGTGTGCAATTTCCTTAGCCTATAGCTAGGATTAGTAGGTACTTTCTCATGTGTCAGAGTTATTGAGCACATGATGTGAACTGTTGCTTTATAACTTCAAAATGGGTATAATTACACAGTACTGGGTATTTCCATCTACTTTGTTTCATTTACTGCTCACCCAATAAACAAAAGATATGACAAGTTAAACATTCCCACATAGCTGACTTGTTAAAAATGACTGGCTCAGGCTTGAATGAAACTCATATTGACATGTTTCACTGCAGGCAGTGACACCACTCCTGCAAAGCTGGCCAGCTTTCAAATTCAGCTGAACTGCAATGAAGATAGTAACACTTGGGATTCATAAACTATTGACTGGTTCCAATAAATTAATTTATGTTCCAACTCAGAGTTTCATGTTGGGGCCCAAAACTCTCTAATCTAAAAATAACATGACAAGCCCTGTATGTTATAGAAAAGAACATATTGCTGCAAAAATCTGTGAATACGTAAATGAAAAATATACTTACAGTCAAAGAACTCAATAAACCAAACGGCATCAAGTGATCACTAGAGTTGAGCGAACCCGAACTGTAAAGTTTGGGTTCGTACCGAACATTACGATTTTTGGACTACGAACCAGAACCCGGACATTTCAGTAACGGTTCGAGTTCAGTGTTCGGCAATTTAATGTCGCGTTTTGAAAAGCTGCAGGGCAGCCAATCAACAAGCGTTTGACTTTGTGCCCTTAGAAGCCATCACAGCCATGCCTACTAATGGCATGGCTGTGATTGGCCAATGCAGCATGTGACCCAGCCTCTATATAAGCTGGAGTCACATGAGCTCTTATTAGTGTAGGGAGAGGATGCTGCAGCTGTGAGGGACAGATTAGGAAAGAATTCTGGTGTTGAATCTGCAAACTATAGCGATTATTTTTGTGGGTGCTATACTACATTTTTGTACCCTGCCCTGAGCCCAGTGCCACAGAGAAATAAGCAATCAGTCTGTTTGTTAGGTGGGAACTTGCAACTGCATGTGTGCCAGGCACATTACTTTATTCCTGTTCTGGTAGCTCAGTGGGCAACATCTAGGCATTTTTAAATACTGCTGTGACATTGCAGTTTGACAAATTCAAATTTTTTTTAAGCTAAATAGTACATTTGCGGCCTGCGGTGCATTTCTTGCAGTCCAATAAAACCCTTAAAGGACCACTCTAGACACCCAGACCACTTCAGCTTAATGAAGTGGTCTGGGTGCCAGGTCCAGCTAGGGTTAACCCATTTTTTCATAAACATAGCAGTTTCAGAGAAACTGCTATGTTTATGAATGGGTTAAGCCTTCCCCCTAATCCTCTAGTGGCTGTCTCATTGACAGCCACTAGAGGCGCTTGCGTGCTTCTCACTGTGATTTTCACAGTGAGAGCACGCCAGCGTCCATAGGAAAGCATTATGAATGATTTCCTATGTGACCGGCTGAATGCGCGCGCAGCTCTTGCCGCGCGTGCGCATTCAGCCCAGGAGGAGGAACGGAGGAGGAGAGCTCCCCGCCCAGCGCTGGAAAAAGGTAAGTTTTAACCCCTTTCCCCCTTCCAGAGCCGGGCGGGAGGGGGCCCTGAGGATGGGGGCACCCTCAGGGCACTATAGTGCCAGGAAAACAAGTATGTTTTCCTGGCACTATAGTGGTCCTTTAAATACTACTCTTTCATTGTTGGTTTAAAAAATCATACTTTTTTGTGCTAAATAGAACATTTGAGGCCTGCGGTGCATTTCTTGCAGTCCAATAAAACCCTTAAATACTTCTTTTACATTAATACAGTTACTTCACTGTCTCAAAAAATATCACACTTTTTTGAGACAGTGAAGTAACTGTATTAATTATGCCTGTCACACTGTTGTGTGACCTCTAGAATTTTTTTCTCTTTAGGACAGTACCTCCAGTTCCTTCACATGGTCCCCTGCTGAAAGCTCAGAGTTGGCACCTGCAGCCCATGGCCATCTGTCTTTCACCTCACCTTGCAAATCAGGCAAGCAGTCTGAGCCACAAGTCATGCAGTAGTCTCTTATGCTTTTTGATGACTCTGCTGGCAGGGTTTCCAAGGGCCATCCACCTAGCCCTGCCCCAGAAGTGGAAGAAATTGAGTGCACTGATGCACAACCACTTATGTTTCAGGATGTGGACATGCGAGGACCACCACAGCACGTCTCTGATAATGATGAAACACCGGTGCCAACTGCTGTGGTTTTCTGCAGTTTTTTACACCGGCAAGGAGGGCAGGGTTGAGGAGTGGGTGGAAGATGATGTGGAGGATGATGAGGTCCTAGACCCCACATGGAATCAAGGTCATGCGAGTGACGTGTGCAGTTTGGAGGAAGAGGTGGTGGTCGCACAGAGGCACCAGCACAGCATAAGAGGGAGCAGGGTGCAAAAGCGGAGCGGCCGTCCCCTAGACAGTATGCCTGCTACTGCCCACCGGACCCATGGACCGAGCACACCAAAGCCAGCTCCAAGGAGTTCCCTGGCATGGCAGTTCTTCAGACAATGTGCTGACGACAAGACACGAGTGGTTTGCACGCTGTGCAATCAGAGCCTGAAGCGAGGCATAAATGTTCTAAACCTGAGCACAACCTGCATGACTAGGCATCTAGGCAACCTGCAACCTGCATGACTAGGCATGACGAGCTGCAGTGGAGTAAGCAGCTGTCCGTACAGGTGGGGGGTTAACTTTTTGAGGGCCCAGACCAGGACCAAGTACTCCTTCTCCACTGTCGCATAACTCACTTCCCTGGGTAGTAACTTTCTGCTCAGGTATGCGACAGGGTGCTCTCCTCCATCCTCCCCGACTTGGCTCAGCACAGCCCCCAGTACAAACATGGAAGCGTCTGTGTGGACAAGAAAACGTTTGTTAGGTACTGGGGCAGCCAAGACAGGGGCATTAACAAGTGGTTGCTTCAATGCTTTAAACGTGGCTTCACAAGCTGGAGACCACAAGACCTGCTTAGGTAAATTCTTCTTAGTCAGGTCTATCAGGGGCTTGGCGGTAGCACTATAGTCGGGGACAAAACATCTATAGTACCCTGCAGTCCCCAAGAAGACTAGTACCCGGGTCTTAGTGAGGGGTGTGGGCCAGTAAGCTACCGCAAAGGTAGAGACCTTGGCTGGCTCTGGTCTCTGGCTCCCACATCCCACTCTGTGTTCCAGGTACTGTACCTCAGCCATACCTAGATGGCACTTATCTGGCTTCAAGGTCAGGCCTGCGGCCCCAATCTTGTCCAGAACCACCCCTACATGAACCAAGTGCTCCTCCCAAGACCCACTGTAGATCGCAATGTCATCAGGTATGCGCAAGCAAAATCCTAGAAGCCATCGAGGAGCCTATCCACCATACGCTGGAAGGTAGCCGGGGCATTTTTCATCCCGAATGGCATGACCCTAAATTGGTACAGGCCAAATGGGGTGACAAATGCTGACTTGGGGATAGCATCCTCAGCTAGGAGAATCTGCTAATAGCCCTTACACAGGTCTATGGTAGTGAGATAGCGTACCCTGGATATGCGATCAAGCAGTTTGTCTACCCTGGGCATCGGGTAGGCGTCAGTGGTGGTCTTCTCGTTGAGTAGCCTGTAGTCCACGCAGAACCAGGTGGTTCCATCTTTCTTAGGCATCATCCCAGATGGTGGTCCCATCTTTCTACAGGCGAGGCCCAAGGACTAAAATGAGAGAGGACGGTGGTTGCGCACACAGTAAATGATATCTTTAGTCTAGGATGAAGCCCCTAGATTCTGAAAACATAAGAAACCATCATAGGGCAATATATCTTAGACTTAAATAAAATGTAAAGAAAACTTGGAAAACTCACAATATTTAGAGCCTATCAGAGTTGGCTCTAAACTTTTAAAGCAGGTTTATCAATCTGGTGCAGATAACGTAGTATAAATCCATTGGTAACCATCAAACGTCTTCTTAATGTAGAAGTCAGGAACCAGGATGACCAGGTAAGTAAAAAGTGAATACTTTAATTATAAAACAAATAAAATTACAGCACAACGCGTTTCGACCTAGTGCAATAGGTCTTCCTCAGGTGCATAATAAGACAGTCAAACAGCATGCTTATATACCATACATAATCAATATAATTACTAGTAAAACCTTTACAGCTGTAAAGTCCGTCCTTAACTCCATATATGGAGTGTTTCCGGCAAGAAACGGCATGTATATGCCTCCTCCAAGATGGCCGCCGTGTATTGTTCCTCATACAGGTGCGCGCGACCTTCCCAAAATGGCCGCGCGTCATCTCCGTGTAATTACGTTATGTCACTTCCGGTTTCCTCTTACTCCGGTCACGTGGTACATCTTCCGATCACGTGATACCGGAAGTGGCGTAAGCAGCATGTAATCATATCGTTGGTGCAAGGGAATGTCAATCAAATCATTCCCAGTTCGTTTTTTAGATACATATTAGCAAGAAAGTGAGAGGTAAAAGGAGAAAGAGTTATATAGAACACCAATCATTTATAACTTAGTAAAAACTTTAACAATAATATAATTACTGGAAAAGTAAGTTCCTTATGAAATAATAAAAACATAAAATACATATAGAGAATGATAATACCATACATATCAAAAGAAAATTTATAAAATTGAACCAATTTCAAAGTCAATGTTAAGTCCCTTTGTGAGTTTTCCAAGTTTTCTTTACATTTTATTTAAGTCTAAGATATATTGCCCTATGATGGTTTCTTATGTTTTCAGAATCTAGGGGCTTCATCCTAGACTAAAGATATCATTTACTGTGTGCGCAACCACCGTCCTCTCTCATTTTATTCCTGTATGTAAGTGTTATATAGTGACTATACACTTGGGTGGTTATTTGTGTGTGCTGCACTGGTTGATTATATATGATATCCTATATATTGTAATCACTTTTAGCGCCATTTTTTATCTCTGTTTTTTACTTGTATTTTATTAGTCACTGGTATAAAAAGGCTGCTTTTTCTGTCATTATGACTTTATTTGAAAGAAGAAATCATTGGTTCAAATCTGCCATTGAAAAATTTATGTGTGAGGAACCTTGTCAAAATGAAGGTTTCACTATTAGTGATAACCTAGATGATATGATTCATCAGCTGGAAAAACTACTAAGTAGGGAAATAAAAATAAAATGGGAGATTTTCACTTTGGAAAAATACCTCAAAGACAAAATTACACCTAGAGGGTTGAGATTCACCAAATTTCCCACTTTTGACTTGGATAATACCAAATTTATGGGAATTTGGACAAATGCTCTTGAATCTTTCTCCATTACGATGATTAACATAATTATAATACAAAGAAAGGAAGATCTACAAGAATTAGATATTACCATCAAAAAATTACAAACAAAATTAGAGCCGTTTGTAGGGACTCAGGATTTCGACATGCTTTCTGAAAGAGTTAAAAATAACCTGGATAAATTAGAAAATTCTATCATTGGTAATAAAAAGAAAAAATATAAAAGGGATCTGGATGATTATGCTAATAATAGAGTAAGGAAAATACCAGGGAATGTGAAACCAGATCAATATAGAGAAAAATTACCTAAAAAAACGACCAAAAATCGGTATGAGGAAAATAGATATGAAAATCAAAAAAATTCTTCTATGCGCCAGCATGTATCCAAAACCCCTATTTGGAAAAAAAAGGAAAATTTCCCCAATAAACCCTATAAAGATAGAAAGATATCATTGAATAAGACAAGTCCACCTAGGGATAGAGATACCAGACCAAAACAGCTTGATAGAAAACCTGCACAAATTTCGCCCCAATTTAGAAGAGATGTCCAGAGATTTAGGTCTAGACACAATGAAGATAGATCTTTTCAAATTCCATTAAAAAATAGATTCGAGCGATTAAGGAGTGAAAAAGGAGAGGAAGTTTTTTTAGAACCACGTTGGGTGAGGAGAGAAGAATACCACAAAACTCCCACAAAAAGATACAGAATGTCAGAAGAGGAACTAGAGGAGGGAGAAATAAATCAAGAGAGAAAGAAAGTAACGATAATGAAATAAGAATTTTTAATTTATCTAATATACTTTTATCACCTACAAAGGAGAAAGTTTTAAGAAAAGGTTTTAAATATGCCCCTAGCTGTTCTGTGAACAAATTCGAAGCATACATTGATATTAATAGATTTACGAGAAAACTCTGTCTAAAAAAATTTTTTAATAAGGAAGAAGCTAATATATCTGAAAGAGAAGAAATTGTAGATATAGAGAGTAATATTAAAAATATTAAACATACTAATTTCAAGAAAAAATCTTCTTTTAATCCACAATATCTTAAATCACATAGTATGAAAGTGTTCGAAAAGGCCTGCTTAGAAGAGATTTATAACATCAAACCTCTATCAAAATATATACAAAATTTATCTTTTAGAGAGAAATTAACTCTCAAAGATTTAAAACAGAACTCCTCCATCGTAATTAAACCCGCTGATAAAGGGGGAGGGGTAGTTATTTTAGATAAGAATGCATATCTTAACGAAATAAAACGACAATTGGTAGATAATACTACTTATAAAAAATTGGATAATAATCCTACAAATGGTATTAAAGTTAAATATGAAAATTTTCTTAAAATAGGTGTGGAAAACAATGTGCTAGATAAATATGAACTTTCGTTTCTTCAAGTACAACACCCTAAGATACCAGTTCTTTATATCTTGCCCAAGATACACAAAGATTTAGAGAACCCACCAGGGAGGCCTATAGTCTCTGGGATAGGCTCCCTTTTATCACCATTATCTCAATTTATCGATTATTATCTACAACCATTAGTTAAAATGTGCCCTTCACACTTGCAAGATTCTATGAACCTTTTAAAGATTTTAGATGAATTAAAATGGGAAGATGATTATCTATTAATCACATGTGATGTTACTAGTTTATACACAATTATCGAACATTCCAAAGGTATTGAGGCAACCACCTTCTTTTTAGATCAATCTAAAGAATTTTTAAGTACACAAATTGATTTTATCACTAAAGGTATCCAGATGATTTTAAATAATAATTTTTTCTGGTTTGATGGTGATTTTTTACCTACAGATTAAAGGTACTGCTATGGGGACCAAGTTTGCCCCCAGTTATGCTAACCTGTTTATGTCCTATTGGGAACACTTATTTATTTTTCAGGAGCATGGCTGGGGTGCAAACTTGGCCCTATATAGACGGTACATAGATGACATTTTTATTATCTGGAAAGGGACAGAGGCAGATTTTAATTCATTTTTTACGTATCTTAACTCTAACACCTGGGGAATCAAACTGACTAAAAACGTTAGCCCTAATAGTATCGACTTTTTAGATTTGAATATTTTTATCTCTGATAATAAATTTAAAACACGTACTTTTTTTAAACAAGTTGATGTGAATAGCTTCATCGAAACAAGCAGCTGCCACCATAATCCATGGATTAAAAATATTCCAAAAGGCCAGTTCTTACGTATGAGAAGAAATTGCACAGACAAAAAAGATTTTAACTCACAATCTTTATTTTTAAAAAAACTATTTGCACAAAAAGGATACTGTGAAAAAGACCTCCAACAAGATATCAACATTGTTGGTGATTTAGAGAGATCACAATTATTAAATTATAAGAGTAAGGATAGAAAAAAACAGGATAAACAAATTCCCCTTATTTTTAATTATTGTAGCAATGCAAGCACTTTAAAAAGAATTGTGAGTAAGAACTGGCATATTTTACAACAAGAATATGAAATGCGGGATTATTTAGGGGATAAACCTAAGTTCATTTTTAGAGGGGCAAAAAATTTTAAGCAAATTTTAACCTCAAATTATGTAGAGAAGGATAATAAAAATGAAAATTCGAATTTTTTAACTAAATGGTCAGAAACCCAAAAAAGTTTTTTTCATTGTGGCAATTGTTATGCCTGTAGAAATACACATATAACTGAAAAAAAGAAAGTTGATTTTATTTCAAATATAACAAAAAAAAGTTTTAATATCAATTCTTTTATTTCATGTGAGTCTACTAATGTTATTTATTTGCTACAGTGTACATGCGGTTTACAGTATGTAGGAAAAACTTCAAGACCACTAAAGACTAGGATTTACGAACATATTAGGAACATAAAAATTGGATTTTTAAATCATAGCGTATCTAGTCATTTTTTAGAAAGACATAATTGTAATCCTAAAGAATTACAATTTACAGCCATCCATAAAATACAAAATCATTGGAGAGGTGGCAATATTGTTAAGAACCTAAATAAAAAAGAATCAAATTGGATATTTGAGCTTCAAACATTATGCCCAAAGGGGCTTAACATTGACTTTGAAATTGGTTCAATTTTATAAATTTTCTTTTGATATGTATGGTATTATCATTCTCTATATGTATTTTATGTTTTTATTATTTCATAAGGAACTTACTTTTCCAGTAATTATATTATTGTTAAAGTTTTTACTAAGTTATAAATGATTGGTGTTCTATATAACTCTTTCTCCTTTTACCTCTCACTTTCTTGCTAATATGTATCTAAAAAACGAACTGGGAATGATTTGATTGACATTCCCTTGCACCAACGATATGATTACATGCTGCTTACGCCACTTCCGGTATCACGTGATCGGAAGATGTACCACGTGACCGGAGTAAGAGGAAACCGGAAGTGACATAACGTAATTACACGGAGATGACGCGCGGCCATTTTGGGAAGGTCGCGCGCACCTGTATGAGGAACAATACAGGGCGGCCATCTTGGAGGAGGCATATACATGCCGTTTCTTGCCGGAAACACTCCATATATGGAGTTAAGGACGGACTTTACAGCTGTAAAGGTTTTACTAGTAATTATATTGATTATGTATGGTATATAAGCATGCTGTTTGACTGTCTTATTATGCACCTGAGGAAGACCTATTGCACTAGGTCGAAACGCGTTGTGCTGTAATTTTATTTGTTTTATAATTAAAGTATTCACTTTTTACTTACCTGGTCATCCTGGTTCCTGACTTCTACATTAAGAAGACGTTTGATGGTTACCAATGGATTTATACTACGTTATCTGCACCAGATTGATAAACCTGCTTTAAAAGTTTAGAGCCAACTCTGATAGGCTCTAAATATTGTGAGTTTTCCAAGTTTTCTTAACATTTTATTTAAGTCTAAGATATATTGCCCTATGATGGTTTCTTATGTTTTCAGAATCTAGGGGCTTCATCCTAGACTAAAGATATCATTTACTGTGTGCGCAACCACCGTCCTCTCTCATTTTATTCCTGTATGTAAGTGTTATATAGTGACTATACACTTGGGTGGTTATTTGTGTGTGCTGCACTGGTTGATTATATATGATATCCTATATATTGTAATCACTTTTAGCGCCATTTTTTATCTCTGTTTTTTACTGAGGCCCAAGGACTGTCTGAGTGCTCGATGACCCCTAACTGAGTCATCTCCTGTATTTCCTTCCGCATTCCTTCTCGGACTGCTTCAGGGATACGGTATGGGGGCTGTTTTTGAGAGAAAGTTGCCTGTTTCTCCCACAGAAGCCTCTTAGCCTGTCCCATCTCGGTGTGGCTTAACCGGTCCCATAGCTGTACAAGGCTAGTAAGGTCAGTCTGGGGGTCTCTCTCTAGTAAATCAGGGAGGGGTAAACTTTCTGAGTCGTCTGCAGCAGGGGCACACACTGCAGCAACATCCTCCTGTCTTTCTTGGTACTCTTTCAGCATGTTCACATGAAAGGATCACTGGATGACATAAGTAGTATCACATACCTGCGCTACTACTTTGTATGGGCCCTGCCAAGATGCTTGCATCTTGTCAGTCTTCACCGGCTTCAGTACTATGAGTACTCCACCAACATGGCCAGTGCCACTGACGCCGTTCTCAGCCTTACTATGTCTCCTTGAAAAAACGCTTTAGGCGATGATGGAAGAGGATGTGGCACAGGAGGAAGAGGAGGAGGAGGAAGAAGGGTCATTTCCACGGTTATTAGGCCAGTCATTCACAAGTGGCTCGGAGGGTGGATTCCTGCACCAGCATAGGCCAGGTACACAATTGTCCAGCCAGGGCACAGTTCTGGATGAGGAGGAGGATGAACCGTGTTCACAGCAGGGTGGCACCCAACGCAGCTCTTGGGCATCACTGGAGCGTGGCTGGGGGGATACGGAGGACACAGACGATACACCTCCCACAGAGGACAGCTTGTCCTTGCCTCTGGGCAGCTTGGCACACATGAGCGACTACATGCTGCAGTGCCTGCGCAACGACTGCAGAGTTGCCCACATTCTAACTTGTGCTGATTACAGGAGTGGCCACCCTGCTGGATCCCCCTTACAAGGACAACGTGCCGTCCTTAATTCCCTCACTGGAGCGTGATCAGAAGATAAGCGACT